AACGAGATTTCATTGTAGGTGATTTCACTTGGTTTCAATCAACTATTGTTACTGCTTTTTAGGTATGTGCTCTGTCCCACTGGTGTGGATTCCACAGCTCCACAGCCCCCCATCACTGTCAGTAAGACGGGAATCCCTAAGCGATAGGAGTCACCTCTCACTGTCTCACCTGTCACTGGAGCCTCTATTCATACCCCATAGATGCTGCTGCCTCCCATCCTCATACTGGCGACACTTTCCAGTGTCCGAGAAAGGCATTGCTGAATGCTTCTGGGTTCTTCTAGCACATCAGGTGAAACTGCATATTGGACCATTCTTTCTGTTTGTAAGGAAAACAGGTCAAGTGATTGAAGCTTGATGTCAATAGATGGTTGGCCCCATATCATTTTGTTTGAGATTTATTGCATTATTTTTCTCCATTGGTTATAAATTGAGAGTACTAATGGACATATCCTAAATACCCTTTAGGCTCCTGTGTGACTAAAATAACTTTGAGAACAGTGTATCCAAAGAAAGGAGGCACTCCCCTATTAACTTCCTTCAATCGCTCTCGCATTCATTGAGGTTAATTGACAGCCTTCTTTCCACGCTGCCTCCAGGAACTTGACCCTGGTCTGCAGGCCCTAGGCTCAGATGGGAAAGGCCATCAGACTGTTTCTTTTTGAGAGATCTACATCATGTCAACGGAAGGACGGAATCAGACGGGAACCATATTACTAACAAACAGACACAGTTCAGACAGATTTCATAATCACCAAACGTGTGTGTGGTATGGTTGTGGTGAGCTTCTGAGGCTCCCAAAAGACCACTAAAATGGTCCAGCTTAAACAGCACAGAAGTTTTGAAGTTGGAATTAAAAGGAATGATTCACTTTAATATTAAGGTTGCCACCAGAAAGCGCTTCTTGGGTTTTGATGGCCAGCTGCAGTTCTCTCGAGAGACACCCCCGAGGGTGGGTATTGAATGACACAGTGTGGGTTTGATCAGGAGTGACATTATCACATGATTACATTTTTTTCCACATAAAATAGTGAATTCATGAAAGAAAATAAGTCATGTTTTTTGTTGCTGTTTTTATTTATTATTTTAAAATTACATTTATTGTTGAAAGCATTACAGATAATCCCCTCTTTTTCCCATTTGACCCCTCCACCCTGCACCCACCCCTCCCAGGCCTTCACCCCACTATTGTCTGTGTCCATGAGCCATGCATATTGGATACAAGTTCCCTGATTAATCTAAGATCTCATTTTGGAATGTTAACATTTCTGAAAGTGAGTTTAAGTTACAGAGTGACTTGACATTGTGGTTATGAGACTTCATTCAGAAGATTGGGGTGAGATCTTAGAGAACTGAAACTTCCCTGAGAGCTTTCCTGATCAATTCTGCTCCCCAGAGCAGACATTGCGTACTGAGAAAGGGGCATCTCCTGCTGCCTCCAGCAGTGTTCTCCCAGAGCCGTGGTTGGCAAAGTGCGGTTCGCGAGCCACAAGCGACTCTTTGGCCCCCTGAGTGTGGCTCTTTCACCAAATACCACAGCCTCAGCGAGTCTATTTTGAAGAAGTGGCATTAGAAGAAGTATAACTTCAAAATATTTGGCTCTCCAAAGAAATTTTAATCGTTGTACTGCTGATATTTGGCTCTGTTGACTAATGAGTTTGCCGGCCACAGTCCCAGAGCAAGGCTAGTCCATTTCAACCCAACATACTCCGGAGGCAAAGAGCTGCAGGCTGTTGGGATACATGCTCCTTTTCTCCCCGGGTGGCCTGGAACCCAATCACTGTTTTTTACTCCTTTTGTTTATAAAATTTTTTTTCAATTGCAGCTGACGTACAATGTTATAATAGTTTCAAGTGTACAACATAGTGATTCAACATTTCTATAACTTAAAAGTTATCACCCAGATAAATCTAGTCCCCATCTGACACCATACACAGTTATTACAGTATTATTGACTTTATTCTCTGGGCTGCCATGTACATCCCATTGACTGTTTTTATGTCGACAATCGCTGTTGTTTGATTCTTTAGGTTTCCTTGTAAACAAAGCTGCCCGCATTCTCTTCAGTTACAAGTCCTGCTTTATGAGAGCAAAACCCAGTGTTTCCAATGGTTTTGGGCCTTCAGATGGCTGAATGATGGAGCAGAAGTTGCAATAATTTGGGCTTTAAAAAGGCAGGATTTGATAGAATCATGAATTTTATGCTTGATTCATAGCTAATATAAGTGTAGTATTAGGTGATATTGTGGTTTTAATTTGCATCTATCTGATGATTAGTGACCTTGAGAATTTTTTCATGTCTATTGTTATCTGTATGTCCTCTTTGGGGAAATGTCTATTTAGGTCTTTTGCCCATTAAATATATATATTTTATTGAGTTTTTACAAAGAGAAGAGGGAGAAAGAGTTAGAAACATAAATGAGAGAGAAACATCAACCAGCTGCCTCCTGCACACCCCCTACCGGGGATGTGCCCACAACCAATGTTCATGCCCTTGACCAGAATCGAACCTGGGACCTTTCAGGCCGCAGGCAGATGCTCTATCCAGTGAGCCCAACCGGTTTCAGCTTTTTTGCTCATTTTTTAATTGGATTGTTTGTCTTCCTCTTATTGAGTTGTATGAATTCTTTGTATATTTTGGAATTAACCTTTATCAGATGTATCATTAGCAAATATGTTCTCCCATACCCTGGGTTCTCTTTGCATTTTGAGGATGGTTTCTTTTGCTGTACAGAAGCTTTTGAGTTTGAGGTAATTCCATTTGTTTATTTTCCCTTTGTATGTGTGAAAATTCTGCTATGTGAGATGTCTGTGATTTTGCTGCATATATTTTCTTGTAGGATTTTTATAGTTTTATGACATACATTTAAGTATTTTATCCATTTTGAGTTTATTCTTGTGTGTGGTGTAAGCTGGTAGTTTAGTTTCTCTTTCTTTCTTTCTTTTCTTTTTTTTTTTTTTTTTTATGTATTTGTCCAATTTTCCCTACACCATTTATTAAAGAGACTGTCTTTACTCTATTGCATACTCCATTGCATAGCTCAAGTGCCTCCTTTGTTGAATATTAATTGACCATAATGGTGTGGTTTGATTTCTGGAATCTCTGTTCTGTTCCGTTGACCTTCATGCCTGTTCTTATGCCAATACCAGGGTGTTTTGAATGCAATGGCTTTGGAGTATAGTTTGGTATTATTATGATCCCTCTAACTTTGTTCCTTTTTCTCAAGATTGCTGTGGCTCTTTGAGCTCTTTTTCAGTTTCACATATAATTTTGGAATATTTTTCTAGTTCTGTGAAATATGCTGTTGGAATTTTAATAGGACTTGTGTTGAGTCTACAGATTGCTTTGGATAGTATGAACAAATCAAAAAGTGAAAAATGCTGGTAAGGATGTGGAGAAAAGGGAGCCTTGCGCACTGCTAGCGGGAGTGCAGCCACTATGGAAAACAGTATGGAGTTTACTCAAAAAATTAAATATGGAACTGCCAGTTAACCAGTGGTATCACTTCTAAAAATATATCCTAAGGAGGATATGATACATTTACATAATGGGACATTATGTAGCTGTAAAAAATAGGGGTCTCTTACCCTTTAAGACACATGTGTCAAACACAAGGCCCGCGGGCCAAATCCGTCCCGCCAGGCCTTGCAATGTGGCCCGCACTGCGCTGTCATCACTGCACTCCGCTGCGTTTCCATCACAATGACAGTTTATGACTGTTCAGTAAACCATTCGGCCCGCGATTTAGGCTGGATTTTAGATTTTGGCCCCTTCTCTGATTGAGTTCGACACCCCTACTTTAAGACAACATAGATGGACCTGGAGAATATTATGCTAAGCAAAATAAGCCAGTTAGAGAAAGACAAATATTTCACTTATACGTGGAATCTAAAGAACAAGATAAATTGACAAATAAGATAGGATCACAGACATGGATGGAAGCATAAAGCAGACTGACAGATCTCAGAAGGAAGATAGGAAGGAGGGTGGGTAGAGATTAATCAAATAAGCATATATGCATATTTCATGGACCCAGACAATAGACAGGTGAAGACCGGGGGTGCTTGAGACATGGGTGGTAGACATAGGAGGAAAATGAGGGACATCTGTTATAATCTCAACAATAAAATAAAATTTAAAAAGAAAAAAAAAGTATAGTATTGGGGAGATAAAATGAAGAAAAGCTCACAGAAAAATGGCATTGCTAGAGCCAGTCTCATGGACAAGAGAGAGCAGAGGGTTGGGGGCAGAGAGACCGAAGAAGGAAATAGAATCTATGGGATGCCTCAGGGAAAAAGAACAGGAAACTGATTTGGAAAGCAGCCAGCTTTATGGACATCTTGTTAATTGAATGCCTCTGTGATTCTGTCATATCTTAATTTGTTGGTTGGATTTACTTGGTCACTTGATCCAAAGTCTATAATTAATTGCAGCTCATAACAGGTAATGTCAGTTGTGCTCGTGGGCATAGCTTCTGGGTATTAAGTTCCATCTCTGACCTTAACACCATATAAACTCTCTGAATATCTGTTTCCTTATCTGTAAATGGTATTCCCCATCAGTTCCTACCTCTTAGAGTTGTTATATTAATAAGAGATTAGTCCTAACTGGTTTGGCTCAGTGGATGAAGCATCAGCATGTGGACTCCAGGGTCCCAGGTTCGATTCCAGTTAAGGGCATGTACCTTGGTTGCAGGCACATCCCTAGTGGGGGGGGGGGGGTGCAGGAGGCAGCTGATTCATGTTTCTCTTTCATTAATGTTTCTAACTCTCTCTCCCTCTTCCTTTCTCTCTGTAAAAAATCAATAAAATATATATATTTTAAAAATAAGAAATTGTGCACAAGAAGTGTTTAGCATTGCTTCTGACCCATAGTAAGGGCTCATAGAACAGGCCCTATGTGTTCAGACCCCTCCTTGGTTGCATTCCTCTTCGCAGCAATGACTACTTTTGACTACTTTTTACGGGAAGTCAGCAGGGTTTTTCTTGTCTCGTTTTAGGCTTTGTGGATTTGACCCTCCATGATCAGGTCCACCTTTTGGAATGCGCATGGCTGGAGATCCTGATGATTGGTCTTGTCTGGCGCTCCATGGAGCACCCAGGGAAGCTCCTGTTTGCTCCCAACTTGCTGTTGGACAGGTGAGTGACTGGCTGTAGTTTGGGGAAAGCACATTCTGTGTAATCCCAGGTTCACACAGTCCTCCAGGGAGCTTCCAAGAAGCTGGTCAGGTATGTTTACTCTACACATGGGCAGATCTGGGCGGTGCAGGCCAATCAAGGTCACAGAGTCTACGAATAACTTTCTGCTAAGTGTCTTCCTAGATTAGCCCTATTATTTCTAAACTATATGTGTATTTGCACTTACATATTTATACAGCGTCCAGTATTTTCACAGCAAACATACCTAGAACCCGTTCGTATGTATATGTATATATGTATGTATATGTATAAGATGTGTACTGAGAAAACTATGAACAGTGATTTTCTAACTCCACCTTCACCTCGTGTTGTTATATAAAAGAAAGGATGACTAACCTTCCTGTAACTAAAATACATTTTTGGCGCATGGACATCCAAACCACAATGGCCTTTCCATTTCCTTCTCCAGTTTTCCCATCAGTAAACGAGGAAGTCTGACCAGAGTTCTGCCAATTCATAAAAGTTACTCGTTTATTTTAGAAGATGAATTTGCTTTTCAGATGTGCTGCCATATTTAACATGTCCCCTTTGGGTTGACTTGGGATATGAGTCTCGTTGTTCCTCGTTGTTCAGCCACTGCTCAGAGTAATAGAGTTAGACACTATTCACCAGCCACTCCCGTTGGGCGAGTGCCTACCCAGCACCAGCTGCATGCTAAATGTTTTACATACATGAGCTCATTTGATGAGCATGGCACTTCTAGGAAGCTATCATTCACATCTTACCAGGACGGAAGCTAAGTTTCTGCATCTTGCAAAAAGAATCAAGCCAACGAAAGGTGGAGCAGGGTTGGAATCCAAGCTCTGCCTGGCGCTGGCTTGCTCATAGTGCATCCTGTCCCGTGCACATGACTTCCACATCTTTTCCTGCTCGGCCATGCCTTCTTTGGTTTGCTGCTGCAGCCTTTTGTTTCCAGGTAGGCCTTGTCTATGTGGGGCACATGGCCATTGGAATGGGAAAGGGCCGCCTTCTTCTGTTTCCTGCTAACTTCTCCCCATCTGCTCAGCCATCCAAGACTGCCCGGTGGCCCAACCACATGTCTGGAGACATTGTGCATTCCTTCCCGTTAGAGTGCCACACTGCCTCCCATGCCCTGTCCCTCTCTGGGTTTCCCTGCACTGCTGAGCCCTGTGGAGCAGAGTTACAGCAACATTGATTTAAGTACCAGAGAACTGTACATTTTGACATCTGCAGAGAAGTAGGAGAGAGAGAGAGAGCCAGAAGTCAGATTGTTCTGTCAGCCATGGATTACTGATGTTGCCAACGAGGGTTTTATGCTTTCTCCATGATTAATTATTATGATGTCCTGTTTGGCCCTGGCAGGGTAGCTTGGTCGGTTGGTGTGTCATCCAATATGCGAAGGTTGCAGGTTCAATCCTCAGTCAAGGCACATACAAGAATCAACCAGTGGTGCATAAATAAGTAGAAAAACAAATCTCTCTCTCTCTCTCTCTCTCTCTCTCTCTCTCTCTCTTTTTCAAAACTCCTGTTTTCACAAACATTTTCAAATCCAGGTATTTGTGCCTTCCAAGGCTGTCAGAAGGAGAGCATTTACCCAAGTCTTTCCTGTAATTATTCAAATATTAGTATTGGCAAGTGGGATTAGTGATTATACGAACATGAAGGCCTATTGGGTTGCCATTCCACATTGGTGCACAGAAGACATGTTTTCTAGCTTGAGTCCATTAGGAAGAATCATTGCTTGATGTACTCTCTGATGACAACCCATGATATCTTGATTCAGGTAGCTTATAACTTCCCGTTAGTCATATGCTTGAAAGCTAATTTTATCTGTGCCATGCTTCGTCTACCCACGACTTCCACTTCTCCCTGTGTCCTGCAGTGGCGAGTTCTAAACACTCCATGTCATCAACTCTTCCTGGGAAAACCAAGAATTTACAGTTATTATAAGGCAGAAATAAAGAAGCCAGTGATTTCTCTTAACGTGAGTGTGTGTATTTTACAAGAGGAAAGTTCAAGATAATAAGAAGGCCTGCGAAAGCAATCAGGAAATGGAGAAAACTTATTTTTCCATCCTAGCACCTAATTCTTTGGTGTGTTTTGGCACAGAGAACCCAAATCTGTCCTCTGTGGCGGCTCCGAATGCAGCTCTGCCTTTGGTCCTGCTTGAGTGCTCATGCTGGAAAGGTGTAGAGGGAAAACACAAGCAAAAATGCTCAACTTAGATGATTGCTCCTAGGGTCTCTGTTTTTTCGGGAGCAAAGTTTGCTATTGCTGGGGGGCAAAGGTGATGTTAGGGGAAATAATGGAAATTGCTGGGTTGATAAGACCACCCCATTTCCAGGGGCATAATTCTGTCCTGCAGGCACCATCAGGACTAACGGATTCTGAGAAATATTTGTGGATTTCTCAGTAAAGACAAAGCACTCTGGATCCCATTCACTCTCAGAGGAGGAAAGAAAAACAACAACAAAAAAAACCCCTGCCCATTTGAAAAGCAGGCTTAATTCAACAAGCAGAATATTCCCTGTACCTCTTCTGGCCAGACGGTTGTTGATCTAGCTCTTGTCATCACTCGAGCACCGGGAGCTCTGCCTGTGGGAATGGAATCGGACAACAGAAGTTCTTTGTAGGCGTGGAGGAGGAACAAGTTTCCCCGAGGAGAAAAACAGGTTGCTGCACTGCAAGGGATATTTTTCTTCTTCTTCATAGCAGACTGTTTTCAGGTGATAAATTCATTTTCCATTAAAAAATGTCACTTTCTAGAAGGAAGAGCATTTTCATTTTCTGTTATTTATTGTTAGTATTTCAGAAAAATTGTGAATAAGAATTTTCAAATAAAAACCAAGTTCCAGCAGTGCTTTTGTTGGCTTTTCTTTGTTGTTGGTTTTTGTTTGTTCGTTTTTTGAGAGAGAAGAAGGGAGAGGGAGAGAGAAACATTGATGCAAGAATGGCACATTGATTAGGCTTCTGCCTGCACACCCCCAACTGGGGATCAAGCTCATAACCTGGGCATGTGTCCTGACCTGGAATCATACCAGCAACCACTCAACTACAGGATAATGCCCAACCAACTGAGCCACACCGGCCAAGGTTGGCTTTTCTTTTTGAAATATTTGGGGAGGGAGGAGGTGGGAGAGGAGAGGGATAGAGAGAGAAAGAAACCCATGAGAGAGAGACATTGATGTGCTGCCTCCTGCACATCACCTACAGGGGATAGAGCCTGCGACCCCAGCATGTGCCCTGACCAGGAATTGGACCAGTGACCTCTTGGTTCATGGGTCAATGCTCAACCACTGAACTACCTTGGCCTGGCAGCTTTTCTGTTTTAATTGACTTCATTTTTTTTCTGTGTAAAACTTTATGTGAATTCTTTGCAGATTTCTTTACTTGAAAGAGTAAAAACATAAAGTGCCAAAGTAAACTGATGAATTCAGACTGTGACCCATGCACGGGTTTCTCAGACATGAAGTGTAAGGGCCTCCCTGTATATTCCCTTTTCCGGTTTCCCCCTTTGAAAAAGGAGTGCTATCCCTGAAGGGAGCATTGCAGTAGCTGAGGAAGCAGGTGGTGGGGGGAGGTGTGGTGAGTGATTATCCCATTCAGTCCTGGGTAGAAGATACTTTTTAGTAGCTTTGCTGGAGTCCCTCCATAACTCTCTGGAAGTGCTTCAGTTTGCCCATTCATATCTCAAGAACCTTGTTCATAACGTCTTTTCATTCTACCTCATAGGAATGGATAGAAAAATAAAAATAAGGAAGCCAACATTTATTCAACTTCTATAATGCTGGGTTATCATTTGTGCTTTCTATATTGCATTCATTGCATGAGAATACAGATAGCAAAGAATGTTATTAGTTTATATTCCATTGGTTCTTGACAGTTCTGAGTCCTTAATTACTCAATGGTAGATGCCAGTTGATTGAGTCTTAGCATTCTGACAAATATTTGGAATACAAAGTTATAAACCGTAGTAAAAATTGAGGCCAAGAGAAGTGAGAAATTAGCCAAACTTTCATTACTGATTCCACTGATTGAAAATGAATCAAAATATCTATTGGACTAAAAACAAATTATGTTGTACTCCTTAATGGGTGAATTATGTGCTATGTGAATTATATTAAGCTATTAAACACACATACACATATTGGAATATCAGCAGAAATTAATTTTAACAAGAAGACTATCAATCATGAAAACACCATTTTATTGGAAAAACTAAAAAAACAAAACATTCAAACCAAGGTTTCTCCCTAAAAACAAAAGCAATTAGGTAGCATTATTTTGTAAACCTTGTTAAGCCACAAGTTTTTAACTCCTCAAGAAGAATAAGCTTATAAACAGTAAGGATCCACTCAATACAAAATTGCTCCAGAGGAAAAGGCATAATTCCAACCAAAGAATTAATCCTGTGTAGGAGGTTAATTTGACTTTTTTACATTTTTATATACCACATTATTTTTGTGTTTTCCCTATGTTATTCACAATGAGCCAACAGATTAATTTAAAATATAATCAAAATAATATTTTGACAGTTTAATTCTAAAATATCTTAATATTTTTTCAGTCACACATGCTACACAGGGATAATCAAATAACCTACCCCCTTATATCTGCTTTAATCAGAGCTATTTGTCCACATTGGCATTATAAATATCCTCCTTTGTTTTATTGAGTGCCATCAAAATCCAAGGATAAAGGGAGATGGCCACCTTCAAATCTGTGTTAGTTAGGGTTCAGTTCAAGTCAACTCAATAGTATTGAATACGATCGTCTCTGGGATCCTGCATGATCCTGAAGGATATGAAAAAAGATGTGTAAGAGGCAGACCTGTCCTCAGGGAATTTACTGTCTAGTGGTAAAGTAGCATTAGTGTACAAATGAATGCAAACAAAAGCAAGCCTGCACCATACCTACATCCATTTATGTGTGTTTTATCTTTCTCTATCACTTTCTTTTTTTAAATTGAGCTATAGCTC